ACACACACACACACACACACACACACACACACCCCTGATGCTCCAAGTGCTCCCTGGCCTCTTCAGCGGCGTATAGCCTCAGCGACAGCAGAGGAGCCTCCATCCATCCCAGAACATCTCTGCTGCTCTCTGCTCTAAGTGCATCTTTGTTGTTATATATATTTTATTAGGCGGGCAAGCATGTAGGGCCAGAACCACGATACATTTGTTAGGAATCACTGTTTCCCAAAAATATGGAGCTCAGAAACACAAACAGCACCCAAATCTAGAGGCATGTTGAAATGTTAGCCACAACTCAGGATACAACTATTCAAGTTGTTTTTTTGTATGAGATAAATTACCTGACCACTTTTTACAATCTAGCCTGACAACCATCTGGCTACACAACAACTGATATGTGTATCCAATCATTAGAAAAAAGGGCCTGCAAACCTTTCGTGTTACAAATCAAGGACCCCCTGCCCAAGAAAACAAGTTAACCCCAAGAATCTGTAACGGCTTCAGTTGGATGAGGAATTTTGCTTCAAGGGGCCAATAAGGAAGTAGCACAGAATCTACTTTCAGAACTTCACTGACCAATATTTGCCACCAATGTCCGCACTCGCAGCAATTGTCATTCGAGTGGATGATTTCCTTTGCATTCATTTCCAGTGTTTTTCCATTGTCTAAAGAACGACTCACATGTCCTCCACGGTGATTTCCTTGAGGATCTGGCAGTAGTCCACGTTCCACACAGCCTGGTCATCCCAGACTTTGGAGGCCAGCAAGATGGCTCCCAGGACGATGCGCTTCCAGTTACAGGGGCAGATATCCAGCTCAGCGTAGGTCAGCAGGCGCTCCAAGTACACCTTGAGGAAGAAGAATGTTTAACGGTCAATATGATACAAAAAACCATTCAACATAATCAAACACCATTTAGTTTTAGCCCTCCAAGGGAACAGGTTGAGGCACCCCTGATGAAGTGTTGATACAAGTGTACCTGTATAATTCCCACTTCTCAACTAATGTAGCATCTACTAAAACTGTTTTAATTCTTGTAACATGTTCGCCCTTGAGAATGATGGTATTGTTGTGTTTCTTTCAAAAATATTTCTCAGTGGAAACAGAACAAGCCAGAGCAAATCAGTGTGTAGGACTTTACTGCCCTCTGGTGGCCGGTTTGTGATAACACCACAGTATTTAACAAAATGAAAAGTCCTAAAGCTCGGACTTACTAGAGTAACAATGGCACATTCTGCAGTGAGCTGTGCAGCGCTGAAGAGCGTTCTGACGAAGCGGTAGATCACTTTGTGTTCTGGGTCCACACGGGAGTAGTCATCTGGCAATGGCTCTTTCTGTACGGGACAAACAGATCACACACGTGTCTGAATGAAGCAAGTACCATTTCATATTATACATTATTCCAAACTAGTTTGCCTCAAATCTCAGATCTATGGCAAATACACAACATTAAAAGATACCAACATCTTCCTGGACATACAGACAAAGTGACAGACGAATGAATGCATTAAACCAAACTACTTGCTTAAAGTGACTGATTCTGAGGAAATCTATTTATGCTACTCACTGATAAGGGGTGCAACTTCTCATCAAAAATGTCCAGTGACCTGTTCGAGTCCCTAAAGAACACAAAATACATTTGTCAACACACTAAAAACTCAAACTAGTTTAAGAAACATAAAGTGTCACAAATGTTATTATTAAAAGCAAATTAAATGATTAAATGACATTTACCTGTTTTTGATGTGGTAGTATATTGCTAACGTCACGCTGGAAAAATAACAAAAAGAATGAGGAAAAAGACAAATATTAATTCAGTGTTATTAGTTTTGGCCTTTAAAAGCTTGGGTAAAAACATTCTTAGTGGAGCATATTATGCTGCGTGCGTGTGTGTGTGTGTGTGTGTGTGTGTGTGTGTGTGTGTGTGTGTGTGTGTGTGTGTGTGTGTGTGTGTGTGTGTGTATAAGCCTGTATGGTGTTGCAAAACATTAGCACACTTTCACAGAAGCTTCATTTAAACACGCTGAGATAATCCTGATTAAATTAGATTTTCCAAATTCACCGAAATATTGACATTACAGAGGAGTGTCCGGAATGAGGCGTGAGAGCATCTGCTTTAGTCACACATCCATTAGGTATTACAACAATGTGATGCAACAGGACTTTCTCGTGTGAAATGAGTGACTTTTGGACCGCTCCGTGTGTTTGTGTTTCTCTGTGTGGGGAATTCTCTCACCATTTGATTGTGCTTTTGAGGTTTGGCTGGCTGACGGTGTTGTCATCTATGAAGATAGTTGAACAGGAGCTGTATTTCTTTGACAGCTGACCAGGAGATACCTTGAAACATAAAATCAGCAACTAGAGTTTATCACAGGGCAGGATCTATTTAGACTGGTTCCACACTTTTGAATAGCTGCCCAATACTTGTGTCTAAAACCATATTGCTTTGCTCATTTAATCTGTAAGGAGAACTGAGTTATGATCAACAAATACATTTTGACACTTACATGACTGATATGGTTTATGTGGTTGCTTTTCCTCTTGTCTCGTACTGTACAGGGAGAGAAATGTTCAACAAAGACAAACAAGAAGAAGAAACCTGTGTCCAGAGTGTAGAACTGTATCTTATAAAGAATTAAGTGGAGTTTTAACCTGAAACCTTTTGTTGATTGTTAACCTGCAGCTAATAAAGACATCTACAGCAGTTTGAGTATAGAAAAGAACATTTTTAACAAGTTATCAACTTAATCATTAGCAATGTAACCCTCATTTAATAAAGCTCTGCAATTAAGTAGTAAGGACCGTTTTAAACCACTCCAAGGATTACAACAACAAGTATTACAATTCATCTCATGTTTTAATATTCATCCCTAAATCATGTGTTTCAGATGTTTGTGCTTCTAGGGATCTCTTGCTAAACAGCTTATGTGAATCATCGGGGTGTGTGCCATGTTAGGATTGCTCACCGTCTGTCTGGGACTTGTACAGGAAGATAGTGCTCGCTCGGGCATGGTCAGACGGGTTAGACTCAAAGGCCAGCTCTGAGAAAACAAAGTGTTCATAAGCGCTTTATAACGACAATCTGTCAAAAGGCATCTTGTTGCTGCTCTGCTCTCACTTGTGGGTAGTGATGAGCCAACAAAGAGAACAGGAAGTCATTAGCGTACCCATCGACCAAACACACTCACATAGTGTACTACTGCAAGTTGTCCCTCACGACTAACTAATAATGCAACGCAAGTCTATGGATTTATTGCACAATATTATACTAGTGAGGGTGGCTGCGTCACAGGTTTGACAGAGCTTCACTAGGGAAGAAATTGCGTATCTGGTTATGTCTTTGGGTTAGTGGATGCAAATGGCTTGACAGCAAACAAAACACTTTAGAGAAGAAAATATGAACTGGTGCAATGTGTATATAAAAATGCTACCATTGAAAAACAGTTCACTTTTTCCACAAGTACCAATGGTTGTTGTATAACTGTTCAGATCTAGAGAACGTGTTGCCCTCTGTGTTACCATTTAAAGACAACAAGTATATAGACCAGTGGGCAACTGTCTGTTAAAGTGAGAATAGACAGACCTCTTTTGTCCGAAACATACATTTTGGCAGTCAAGTATGGCATGGCTTTAAAGTCTTCCACAAGTAGGCTTCTTTAAAAACAACTAGCAGATATAACTGTTATTCCACAATTGCAAACATAAAAACAGCACTGGTTTATTCACATGCAAGACTTTAAGAATTGTGTTCTTATCTCAATCCATGCAGACGGCACATTACATAAAAGGATGGGGATTAGGGCATGGCAGCATTTGTGAAGCAGGGACAGCAAGAAGAGAGATGAGGAATGTAGGAAGGACTGCTGGACAGATTCTGACCCTCACCCTGCCAACAGCTGCCCTCCCCACACTGCACTCACATACTACTGTCCACAGCAACATGTCTGGGATGAACACTGCCTGTGTCGAGGAGTGGCGACACAAGGACTTACAGTACAAAACTTAGCTTGGGCCTACATCAATGGGAGATATCTGAGATGCTTTTCTGAGAAGCTTTTCTATGTGGTCTAAAGCAGAGCTTGTGATCACAGTGTGAGCAAAAACAACTGTCAGGACTGCCTGAAGGCCATAGGCTAAGCTTGATTTGATCCTGTGTCTTTTTAACACGATAAGTCTATGTAAATGTGACTAAATAAAGCAAATGACAACATTAAGTTTGTGCAAAGATACAGGCACGATTCAAAAAACAAGTTAGCTATGGTTCAGTGGTGATCTCTCTCCATTAAAACTGTATCCTTCCCCCACTCCACTCATAAACTGGGCATGGGCATAAACCTCAGGGTGGCAAAAGACAACATTTATGCTTTTTATTGCCAATTACTGAGTGATTAATATGGTGCCCAGGAGATGATGAGTTTGTTTTTATTTCTGATGTGATGCCAGTGTGATCAAGAGTGCAAAGAATGCCCTCATCATCATTGCAGTGCTGGCACCAGGATGGCAATAAACAGGTCTGGCAACTTGGCCATAGCTAGAGGGAGTCTGTGTGCATCTCCCTGCAGTAGAGAGATACTGTCTTTTACACTGAAAATGTGTCTTGTTTGTGTGCAAATTATTATTTCTAGGGGCCCCTTATGCTGACAAGTAACTGTATACGTGCGTGCATATGGAGTGTATATTTGCTAACTGTCATCAAAGTCAGTGTGGTGTTCTTTGAGTCATGTGAAGAAGCTTCTTCACTATGACAGTGACTAGATTCAGATGAACTTCCCTTTAAACAAACAACATGGGTGTGTCCTGTACGGGTGCAGTAAATTAGCTGTTTAAATCATCATAGGTTTTCCCGGTTATCTGGTGGGACACCTACCGTCAGGGACCTCTCTGTCGCTGATATGCTGCAGGTAGGGCAAGGTGTTATCATCGCTCACTTCCGTGCTGGTCTCCAGCTCCTCCAGCCGCTCCGCTGGTTGTCTCGACGGTAGTTTGGGGCTTGACTCGGGAGAGACGCAGCATGTCACCGTGTTTCCCATTCTGAATCGGGATAAAGCTCCACACTATTCCAGCCAAGTCCAAGTAGTGCAAATATGTGTAGCTAGCTCAAATTAGCCTCCTTCTGCTTCATACACATTACCAGGCTTTTCTCAGTATTGGGACTATCTTTGCGTGCTAAATCGCCGCTGTCCGCCAACTCCCTGGGATCGCATTCCTGTCCAGTTGAGGGTAGAAGAGTCAAAGAAGAATTAGCCACTCAGGCTCACCCTGTAGTAGAGAATCGGAGTCGTCTCATGTAATATTCGACGTGTTCTAGCAATAAAAACTAGCAGTTGTTAGTTAAATGCAGGGTTCAATTCATTCATTCAAGATGAGTGTAGCTGCTCGGTAACGTTAGCTAGCTAAATAGCATCATAGCAAGCTAGCTAACTGTCTCCTTAACTTTTTTTTATTACACGTTTTTCTATCGTGTGAACACTATCGACTTAAGAAAATATACATGAGACGAATTCAAAACGTAAGTTTCTGGCAAATACTTTTTCGACACTTTTCAAACAATCCCGCAGATGTCTTCTTGCTCTCGGGTCTGTCTGAAGCCAAATCTAGGCCGAGGCTTTTGAGGCCTCCAGTGGAAAATGAAGGTAAAAAGAGAAAAATCCAACCAAGAATGTAAAAGTGCAAGAAATTCTCAATGAGGTCTGACCGACTAAGCTTTGTTTCAGTTCCTCATTGGAGAGCCAAGTTTGGTAGCTGGACCGTACTCCACCATCAGAGCCTACACCCCTTCAGATTTGTGCTGGGTGTCCTCCATCTGTTGCCGGAGCTCACATACGGCTCGTCTTGGCACGGAGATGTTGTAGTCCCGCCTACTTAGAAATTCCATTCACTCCCATTCGCTGCTGAATCAAAACATGGTCAGTTTAATACCGCTCATTGGTTGAAAGAGCTGTCTGTTGGAGACGATTTCAACTGATGAACTGTATATATACAACGCTACTATTTTTGTATCGTCACCGACCCACACCCTTTTTGACAGTGGAAACTAAAGCCCATCATTTTTGTATCTGTCAATAAATGCATACCTCTTCATTGAAGTAATAGGTGTTTTTCCCATTGCTGCTAATAAAAGGGAATAAGATTGATATAGTATTTTGTACTAGAATGCATTCATCTGAAAGGAATAGTAACCAGATAATAGGCAAATAAGACATTATACCAGACATATGATAACATTATAAAATAAGATGAATTAATATGGATTTAACAACTCTACATTACCGAACATAGTTCAAATTAGCTCAGACATGGTTTACTGAAACAACATCAAAACGTTTGCCATACTTCAGTATAATAAAAAAAATATTCAACTGCATTTTAATATAAAACAAAGACATTGAAATATATGTTTGTGTTTAAATAGTTCCCCTTCATGGCTCATCAATGTCTGTCATTAGTGAATTGTTCATATTTTACTTTATTTGAACAGCAAAAAAATGCACAACCATCGTCAAGAGCAGTTTATTGCAACATAGCAAGTGTTTACAAAAGAGTAATGTAATCTCAGATTAACAGCATTTACAAATAATAGGCTGGTGGTATGTAACATTTGTTTATAATGTTCAAACAAATGGTATGTAATGCATTAGTTAGTGATCTTGTCTCTACAAGATACTATACAATACATGGCATTTTAGATTGATAACTTTTAAAAGTGTCAATATATAAACTGATCACATTAAAAGATAGAAAAAATGTTATTATTACTATTCTAGAAATTCGGAATATATAATTTTACATACACGTATAACAATCTGTTTCATGCACAAGTGAGGCCGGTGGGCATGAACTGTTCTGCCACAGAAATTAAAACATTTTAGGTTTTGTTGGAAAGATATTGTGTAAACACATGACAGAGTTGAGCTCGCTATATAAAAAATGATTATTACAAGTTTTTTTTTCAGCACCAGCACTGGATGTGTGAATTAAAGGAGTTGATTTTCATTTATTTTTTCAGAATACACTTAAAAAACCAACAAACTTATGTAAACCCCTGACGCTGATATTTCCTAATAAGTGCTTCTTTCAAATTGACCATTTCCTCTCCTTTCTCCCTCAGTCGGTCTACATGAGCTGATTCATCAACGCCTTCTGAATTACTCTATATAAGAGGTGATGCTGTGATCGTTTTTTATCAGATTCGACCCATTAATTCTTTTTATTTTACAAATACATGCTGTACAATAGAAAAATGTTTTAAACTACAAAAATAAAACTGATATAGCTACCATGAAAATGTGATCAATCACAATCAATTAAACATAAATTGTGCCTTAATTAAATGAATTGGAAGATATAATAATAGGTTGCTTCTAAACTAAAACTGAACTCACAGTTAACAACATTACAAAGTACAGATCAGTCTGAAGCCACCAAAAGTTCTGCAGTTAAAAAAAAGAAAAAGGAAATGAAATGACATGATATATGTTGTGTTCCTGACTGCTCTCTTTAGAGTCCCTCTTCTCTACAAATAGACACAGTTCATCCTTAACAGGGTACCGCACTCCAAAATATAACATCTCCAACAAAGGCCTCTTCTCTTACACTTAGCTGCCATGACTGCGGTAGGCCTGGTGGATTACATGAATACACTCACATACATTGTTTTATATTCTACATTGACCCATTTTACAAATATGCAAAATTGGTTTCATACAAGCCATAAGAACATTTTCCATATCAAATAAAAAATAAAAACAGGTCTACACATGCTGTAGAGTCTATATACAGTTATATATAAAAAAAAAAAAACAGACGAATACGTACATATATCTTTTCAAAAACCTTGTACACTTCCATAAAATTGATTTATTTGAAACAGAACAAACATTTTCATGGATTATTAGTGTTGAATTTATGTAAATTTAGTCTATATCTCATTTAGATTTTACAAAGAATACAAAAAGAATTATTATCATACATCTACGCAATCCATATCTTACCACCATCTAAAGGCCCCTACACACCAATCTGACACCAAAGAACACGTCCCGTCGGACCCGACTGTTGTGTCGCCTCACGTCTCCTGCGTCTTTGCCAACAGTCACACTGGAACCAAGCCCCCAGGAAGTGCGCCGGACTCTGATGAAAATATTCGTTGTGTCCAAACGGCGGTACTACAATTTACGTATCAGTCCGTGACGTCACTTGGCCCAGAAAGACTTTTTCCCATTGACTAACATTGGGAAAGAGTCTTCTGTAAATCAGCGGATAATTACAAAAAATAAAAATAAACTACCCAGTATGAACTATTGTATAGCCCTTATTATAATCATTAGGTCCTTAAAGTTGTGAAATGCACTAAAAGCCGAATCTAGATTTATTTTCTCTCTCCATTCATTCTACTGAGCCAAGTGGGGGGGGCGGGGCTTAAGGGGCGCATGCTCTGTGAGCGCACATACGGGTTCTTCTGCTGTGACAGCCAGGCATGATGGGTAATCTGTGACGTTTCGCTCTCTCAAAAGTTGGGCAATTTTGTCCTCATGCGCCAATGAGCAGCTCTCATAGGAAAGAACGAGACCCCGCCTCCGACGCTGTATCCAGTTCTTATTATACATCCATGACTGGAAAACACCGCAAAGACTTCAGCCGACGGCCAAGTAGCACGTACGAACTGCGTGGCAATAACTGTCCTTACTAGCAGGCGGCGGTAGTGTGTATTCGTCATTCAAAAGAGGCAACAACCGGAGACAGACTGCGTGATAACCGAGAAGAAGAAGAAACAGACTGCGTGATATAAAACAAAACCAACCAAATAGCGTGTGTGTTCCATTTTCACTCTACAGCGGAGAAAGCTCCATGGGCTTTCTCCCCAACCTGTGGTTCCAGATGAGAGTTAAATGAAATCTCAGATTTGTCTTCTAATCGTTTTGCCTTGGGGTCCTCACTTCAGTTTAAGCTTCTCAATGCCACTGATTCCCGCTAAGCCCTGAACAGCCATTAGAGTTATTTATTTTAGCCGACGGCCTTTTCCGACACCTCGGGTGGAGGTGTCCCGGCACGGCCCGAAAAGACAACAACGGGTCGGGACACACCCTTGCGTCCCATCACTTGCGTCGGTTTCCCCTGTGACCTAGTCCTTCCACCCAGGGAAGCATGGAGAGACGCAAGGAATACCAACGAGAAGCAAGGGAAATTAGTTTTTAAGAGCATGGGACCCACTGGCCTTGCATAGGAACACACCCTCTTTTTTATTGCATTTAGCACCTCTAATATTTATATAAATAATTGATGGAAAAATTAGCTTTTATTTCTCAGTACCTTCCAGGGTATGTGACCTAATCACTCAAAATCAATGTTGGGTTCAAAGAACTACCTGCCTGCATAGGACACACCTCTTTTTATTGCATTTAACACTCTAAATATTTTTATATTAATATGTGAATGGAACAATTAGTTTATTCTTCAATAACCTTCCAGGTCATGTGACCTAATCACTTAAAAATAATGCTGGGTCAAATAACTACACTGGCTGCATAGGACACACCTCTTTTTATTGCATTTTAAGCACTCTAAATTATTTTAATTAATTAATTTGATGGAAAAATAGCTTATTTCTTCAAGTACATTCCAGGTCCATGTGACCTAAATTCATTAAAAATCAATGTGGGTCAAAGAACTAACACTGGCTGCATAGGACACACCTCTTTTTTTATTGCATTTTAAAACTCTTAAATATTTTTTAATATTAATATGTTGATGGAACAATAAGTTTTATTTCTTCATATTCCCAGGTCATGTGACCCTAATCACTCTAAAAATAAATCTGGGTCCAAAGAACTACACTGGCTCATAGGACCACACCTCTTTTTATTGCATTTAACACTCCTAAATATTTTTTATATTAATATGCTGAATTGGAACAATTAGCTTATTCTTCCAAATACCCTTCCAGGTCATGTGACCTAATACACTTAAAAAATAAATGCATGGGTCAAAGAACTACACTGGCTGCAATAGGACACACCTAATTTGATTGCATTTTAATACTCTAAATATATTAATATTAATATTTTGATGGAACAGATTAGCCTATTGCTTTCAAATACCTTCCAGGTCATGTGACCTTAATCACTCAAAATCAATGTTTTTGGATCAAAGAACTACACTGGCTACAATTGGACACACCTCTTTTTTAAATTGCATTTTAACACCTCTCAAATATTTTTAGATACATTTTTTGATTGAAAAATCAGCTTATGCTTCAATACCTTCCAGGTCATGTGAACCTAATCACTCAAAATCCAATGTTGGATCAAATAGAACTACACTGGCTACATTGGAACACACCTCTTTTATTTGCATTTTTTAACACCTTAAAAAATATAGATACATTTTTTTGATGGAAAAAAGCTTATTGGCTTCATACCTTCCCAGGTCATGTGACCTAATCACTCAAAAATAATGTTGGATCAAAAACTACACCGCTACATTGGATCACACCTTTTAATTGCATTTTAACACTCTAAAATATTTATATTAATTGTTTGGATGGAACAATAGCTTATCTTCAAATTACTTCCAGGTCCATGTGACTAATCACTCAAAAAATAAATGCTGGGTCAAAGAACTAAAACGGCTCAATAGGGAGCACACACTAATTTGTATCGCAATTTTTAATACTCAAATATCATTAAATATTAATATTTTGATGAAAATTAAGCTTATCTTCAGTACTTCCAGGTCATGTGACCAATCAACTAAATAAATGTTTGGGGTTCAAAGAAACTATCACTGGCTGGCATAGGACACCACCTCTTTTTTATTGCATTTTAA